CTGTTGTGTCCTTAAAATAAATAGATAATCCGGGCTACTAAGATGCTACTACTGGAAATCATTTCTCTCTCTTTCAGAGGTCAAAGATCGCAAGCAGATGACTGACACTAAAATATTTTGCCAGATATCACTTACATTTGATGCTAGATAATAATCATATTAATACTTGTTGACACAGATGGGCGTTTGTACAGAAAACAAATTAGATCAATTACCTTTTTCAATCAGGTCATTCATCATAAAAATGGCCTCAGGACCTGGTCAGCATTAAGGATCAAACATATATCAGAGAATTTACCAACGAATAATGAATGGTTCGTGTTTGTTTGGATTTGTAGATTCTAAATTTAACGGGTGGCAGTAAATGAATTTTGTGTTTACTCCAACCAGTAAATCCAAAATTTACATGACATTTGAAAAAAATACAGATTTGACATTCAGTAATATGTCTACATCACCATATTTTCCACCTGTTCCACTTTGACAAATACAGTGATCCACCAATTGTTCTAAAGACAAAATTTTATTTTATACATTTCCAGTAATATAGTTGTTTGTCTCTCGGAACCCGTTAAAAGTAGAATGATATAGACACTGAAATTATACTTATTCCATTTCCGAAATTGAGAATTGGTTATTACTTTTCCGAATTTATTCTTATATTTTTGCATAATAAAATTGTGATGAAAATACATAATACTTTTCTTTTTTCCTGCTTACATGTGGTTAAGAGTAGGCTTTGGGACAATACATGAAATATGAAGATAACGAACAGTATTCAAGTTCAATGTCCATTTCAACAATACAATTCGGGAGCAGAGCAAACACAGACATCCAAAAAACATCAGAGGATGGATCAGGTGCCATTGAGCAGTGGACATCCCCTGCCGACCGGTCACATCCGCCGTGTGCTCCTTGTCATGATCGGGGGAAAAAAACGCAAAATCCGTAGACAATTCAGTGTGTAAATAATGGCCTAGCAATTACTATGAAAAACGTCAGTCAGCATTTGATTTAATGATAGGTTGTATTTGCTGTCGTCGATATATCTAAATGTCGAGCTGAAGGCCACAGCAACTGTTTTTGAATTAATTCTGCTTCATATGAATACAAAATTAGGTCTGCTTACAAGGGGGCGTAATTGGTACCCATGGAAAGTTCAACAAATTGTAGAAAGACCTGAACTCCAAAAACTACTTAGATATTTTCAATCAGAAACTCAAGCATCTTTTAATTTCAACTTCAGAGTATTTGTGTGTACAATCAGAATGCTTTTTAACAAAATAATTTTATAAATGACCCGTAACTGTAGAAGATGTATATTTTAATGAATAATTTAATAAATGACAAATAAATAAAATAAAATAGTTAAATAAATAAATAAAATCTAAAGTCTTTCTATTACTAATAAAGTATTAAGTTATACTACCCATCCCTTTAGTTCCACCTACACATTTCATACCTATACTCATTCATTGGTTGTACACTTGCATTCCATTGGTCAAGAGGTTTTACATTGTCCAGTGTGGGGGGCCTTGTTCAGGTTACAGTGCGTGTGTAAATTAGTAATTCCTGGCAGGGCCCCAGAACTTGTGTCTTCGAAGACTGTTTAAGGAGGGTGGAATGTAGAAGTTCGGGTTATACGGACCGTGGATATCGGCCTAGATAGCTCAGTGGGAAGAGCACTTGACTAGTGATGCAGGGGTCCCGGGTTCGATTCCCGGCCCAGCCATATGTTTTCTTCATGCATTTCTCCTTTCCTACTACATAACAAAGTAAGTTTATTTACGAGTTGTATTTTATTAAAAAGCAGCTGTCAAAAACCCTAGACTTTAATTTATCTTGGGGAATGGTTGTATAAAGTTGAAAAGTCGTTCGTTTTGATGTTATTAATTTTGTTAAAATCTTGAGAGTCGGCTCAGTCGGTAAAACGCTCGCTCCGTGATTGGAAGGTCGTGTGTTCGAATCACGGCCGCGACTGACCTAAGTCGATAAAAATAGGTAGCAACTGTTCCTTCGCCAAGAGCTCGGCACTTTGAAGTGAAAGTTGCGGGTCCTTCGGATGAGACCTTAAAAACCGAGGTCCCGTGCCACGGCAGACGTTGGCACGATAATTAACCCTCACTGCCCAATGGTTCTGAGTGCCGAGTAAAGGTCTAAATTTGCAACCTTCACAGGTATATGGTGGCGTCTCTATATGAGCGAAAAGTTCTCGAACGGGACGTAAAACAATATACAATCTAAAAGTTCCTTGGAGTTTTTAAGTATCCACGTCTGATTTACACACTTCTGGAATATACTGTTGAACTGTACTCCTATACTGTACTCCTGAAGTTTCTCCTTCTCTGTTGTAAATATTTAAGTGACGAGTAAAGAAAGAGGCTGGGTAGAACATTTACTGGAACCTGCTATGTATCTGTGTTCGCAAGGATTTTTATGGAGTTTTGGAATCCAGTATAGGTTATTCAAATTCATTTTGATTGATGGAAAACTGACGTATGGTTTTGAAGAATTTCCTCCTTTGAAAGGAGCTATGGGTGTAAGTTGGATTACCACTTGTAGAATTAAATCCTAGTTCCTTTAAAATACAATTCAAATAATGAGCCTTACATACAAAGGCAATGTTGTTTCCTGCTTTGTCAGCACGGACCAGTACATACTGATCGTGTGATCTATCTATATCTTGTTTCACTTCTGCATCGTCGAAGACAGAAGGATAGATGGTTTTCATATTGCCCCACAATTGCTTGATGCGCGATTTCAACATCCATCTTTTTCATATTTAGCCCATCGTCTGGCGTAATCTTCTACTGTGCGAATTCATAATATTTATGAAATTATGATGCCAGTTGAAAGATCGGGGTTCCCTAAACTTTGGTCCTCCCATAATAAGTGATTTAAGGTCCTAATCATTAACTCTATTTACGTCACCGTTAATGACGTGTCCAGTCCAGCAGGTCTATAGTTGTAGGGTGAAGAAGAACATGAACACATTGGAGGATTATGTTTCAGCATTGGCGGATCCAGAAGGGGGTTTCGGGAGATGGACCCCCCCCTTTAATTTTGCAGAGAGAGAGAGAGAATTTTTTTCTGTAATATAGATATTTAATAGTCTAATATTTTGAATAAAATAAGTAGTAATCTGCCCTTTCTAGGTAGAGTTTCGCATATTTGCTTTCCTCCGTGTACCTTCACAACCCCGGTCCAGGGTCCCGAACACCCACAACTAACATGCAAGGTTTCACTTTGATTTCATCGGAAAACTCCGGCGAACTTAAGCTATTCCATTTTTGGACCATCTTCTGAAGTAACTTATTTTAAGAAGTATGCATAAAAATCATGATGGGAGTATGCATAAGAGAATATTTCTGTCCTCATTTTATGGGGATATTTTAATCAATGAAGAGAAAGGTTTAAAATGTCCCCGTAGTATGAAGAGGGAGCGGTGTTCATTTTCTGAGAATAATCTTTTGCTGTAGGTTTAATATATAAGTTTTGATTTGAATGCCCCCCCCCCCCCCATTTTGTTGCCGAAAGGTCAGAATACGAGTATTTTAAAGATTAAATGTAACGAAAAGTTAGAGGAAGCACCCCCCCTCCAATAGTATTAAAGAGTGTGGTGCACAGATTGTTTTTGTTTGAGTATTTTTTATTTTATTTTATTTATTTTGCTTGTCAACTCTTTTAGGAGGTTACCCCCATCTCTGAAAAAAAAATGTTGCGACGCCCTTGAAGTGGCTTTGGTGTGATTCTATGCATGTGTGTTGGGGGCACCGATCTGGAACACACCCCCTCCCCCTTCAAAAATTGCTGGATCCCCCCCCCCTGTTCAGATGTTCGATATCTAGGCACTGTAGAGTTTTTTTTTATAATTAAAAATTTTGGAAACAATTGACAATTTATATTTGTAAGAACTGCAAGTGTGGACTTCAATTTGAAAAATGGTGGATTACAAGACTGGACTTTTTTATGATTAAGAATATTACTTATACTAAGTATTAACTGCATCAATTCATTTGTTGGTATGTTGAAGTTGAAGGAAAAAAAAACCGGGTTGTTATTTCCGAGAAACGTGGCGGTTTAAAGAGCCTATGATTTGCAATATCCATTAACACAGACCTGAAACTGTATTCTGATGTCGAAGTATCCAAATATAGGCTTTCCTTGACTTTTACAAATAGACTATTCAAAACTTTCAAAGGGAGTAAAGTTTTGAACGAATGTGATGAAGGCCTAATTGTTTTATTTACAAAAAGTAGTAGTGAATCAAAGGAGACATCGTGTATAATAGATTTATTGTAAGACCAATGGCAATGACTACGCCTACGTCTGTTACTGTTAAAAAGTCCGATCACATTCACATTGCTACACCGTGGGCTTGAAAGATTCCCAACACTTTTGACATTGTCATTGCTACCATAAGGAAAGGCTGTGCCTAGTTTTCTAATCCAGTTTTCTCGTTGTCTACGGAAAAGTGTACTCAGTAATCGGCTATTAGTATGATGGCAAATCTTCTCTAGAATTCTAACCTTCATTGACAAAAAGAATGATCAGGTTTAAAATACTTGAATGGAAACTGTTGGCCTCCGTTAATGCATGCAGCATTAAGGAATGAAATAGCATGGACTAATGAAAAGGAAAAATAGTCGAAATACCAGGACATGCATTACCCATAACCCGTACTGCATTTATTAGGGGCAAAAATATTTCTAGATTAAATGTTAAATTAAAAATTTTGTATCAAAAATTCTACTGCTGGTATACAAAGTGATGTATCCTTAATTCCGGTCTGATGCACAATATTTGCACTAGACTTCTATTTTTTCTATTTGAGAATAATTTAGCTCTGTTTTTGGTAATTATTATTTTCAGATTTTTTTTTGACTTAAATAAATTATAACGTAATAATTGAGTACATTAAGCTTTTTAAATTTTCACATAAAAGACAAGCATCGTCAATTTCACATAGTATCTTCTAAAGCTACGTTATTATTTTTCAGATGAAATATCTCAGGGAAATATCAACGGGATTATCATTGAAGTGTTACCGATGTTTATTTGGAGCGTTTATTTTTATTATAGTTATACTTTGTTTCTTTTATCAAAATCAAAACTTGACATCCGCTTTTATCTACAACAATAAAGAAATACTTCAATACATCCCTCGAGTGTCAAACAATGGAAATAACTCCATCCACCAAATCAAAACAGTGCTCCTTTACAATCCTAAGCACTGGGAAATACAAATATTGAATTCGTTCACAAAAGCAAGACTTTGGGAAAGTTGTCCATATTCATGTCAAATAACAACTGATACAAAATTATATAATGAAAGTGATGCAGTGATATTCGTCATTGATTTATTGGGAGGAAGTGATTTACCTGCAAAAACGCCTCACCAAGTTTGGATATTTGCTCAATACGAATCTACCGATTATCTAACGAAAGAAGTTGGTAGCCAATTTGTACGGCAGGGGAATTTGAAAAAGTATAACCAGAAAGTGAACTGGACGATAAGCTATAGAAGAGATTCAGATATTCCATTTGTTCACGGGTTTTACGGTTCCAAGAAAAAGAATGACGGAGAAAGAAAAAAAGTCGGGAATGATAAACATGGCATTGCTTGGTTTGTATCTCACTGCAAGACAACCTCTAGAAGAGAAACCTTTGTTAGTTTATTGAAGAAAACCACGGCTATTGATATATATGGTCATTGTGGCTCTTTGAAAGCCCCAAATTGCCCGAAGGCAAGAATAGATGCCATTAGGGAAAGTTGGGGCTTAAAGCAAAGTCAATGTTTTGACATTCTAGATACAAAATATATGTTTTATTTGTCATTTGAAAATGCGATATGCCGTGATTACATTACAGAGAAAGGCCTTCATCACGTGACTCAACATAACATTATTCCCATCATGAGAGGAGGTGCAAATTATTCTATTTTTAGTCCGCCAAAGTCCTACATAGACACAAATGACTTTTCCTCTGTACAACAGTTGTCAAAATATCTTGCTAACGTGGAGAAAACCAAAGGTTTGCAGGAGGAATTCTTACACTGGAAGAAACACTACAGATCCCAGTATCCCTTAGAGAACTGGCGCAATAATATGTGCAATATTTGTCAGCGATTAAATAATCCTACAAAATATACAAGGATCTATAATGACATATACAAATGGATCGTTACTCCAAATAATCAAGAAGGGTGTTCTGAATCTAAGGATTTTTAGATCTTGATGTAAATGTGATTATATTAAGATTATAAATGTCTATATTTTTTATGCTTGTATAGGTATAAAGATATATCTTCAATGATTAGCTGTTTAAACTGTTCAAAGTTTTTTTTCTGTATATCAGTATTGTCTCCTTATTGTCTCCTCTGAAAGAACTTTTCAATGTTATAATATTAAAGTTTAAAAAAAAAAATTTATCGTTTTGGGTTTTTTTTAACCTAACTTTCTTTTCATAGTAAATTAATCAGATATTATGAGAAAACTTAGATTCAATAAATAATCATTAAATGGATTTTATAATTTTAAAAGCGTTTTCTTTTTTTGAATGAGGGTGCCTTGCATGGATTATAAATCTAGGTGGAACAGAATCTTCATTACAAACGAGCATACTGTAGATTCCTAAATATATGCGAGGAATTAATTATCGCTTAAATTTCGCGAGAAGCACCACCCGCGAAACAAAATTACTCGCTTTTATTTTTATGGGGCTTATATCCATGTAAAATCTCTTGATCAAAGGGCCACTCGCTAATTATTGTTCTCTGAATTTCGCAACAAAGAGCTATTTTGCGATATTAAGTACTCGCCTAAAATAAGGAATCTACAGTAACCAGGGGTACTCGTGTAGCACAAACATCTGTATTTTTTGTGTAAAATACTTTGTAAAGAGTAACTTACAATTTCCCCAGTATTTTTTTTTTTTTTTTTTTTTTTTTTTTTGCTTGCACATATTTAAGACTTCTGCTGAAACTTGAACACATGTATCAAAAAGTAACTGTATAATTTCAAGATTTTTTTTTTTTAGCTTTTTCTTCTATACTGTTGATCACCATTTTTTTTTTTTTGCGAGATAGATATTTGGTACTCCTAAGCGAGATAAGCGAGACAACAAGTATGATTAATATATCTTGAGGAATACAATTTTAGCCAGAAAGAAGTTTTCGCTCGAAGATAACTTCGCGTGATACGCAAAAAAAGTTCTCGCAAATAAAAAGTGATTTACGGTCGTACCTTATAGACAGTTAATGGAAATAAATGGATTGATGGGACAAACTGACAAAGTGACTTTGATTGTAGGTTTGGTCTAAATACAACGTGTTCGTGCATAAAGCATATTTTTATTTAACAAAGTTGGAATTTCATAGAGAAAGAATTTGTGTTGAATACTTTGTAAAGAGAAACTTACAATTTGGCCCAGTATTTCCGCAGGTTTCTTAGAAGTTTAATGCACAGTTATGAAAACCTTGATTGAATCGGGTGGAAACGATTAAAGCATTTCGAGGAAGAGTAGTGACCCTTGTAGCTTCTAAACTTGTGTAAACGCTACATATTTTCACATATAGAACATAGTTGTATTAAGATCCCATCCTGACTCCCGAGACCACCCCTAACATACAAATACTATAGTAAACTATAGTTTACTTTAATTTACTATAATTAACTGTAGTAAAAGTATCAAAGTTATCACTACAGTAAATCTTTTTGAAACCCAATTTTTTTCAATGAAGGATAAATGACAAGATATTTCTTCTACGAAAAAATGTTTGACTCGTATTCAATTTGTGTTTTTTTTCTATAAATTTTCATAGAGTAAAGTTAATGTAAAAAGGACATTTTTATACAGCACATGCTATATATTTACATTAACTTCCAGTGCCCTTGATTGTTGTATGACTTAGTTGCACCTATTAAAATATATTATACTCGTCCACAAGTAAAACAATAATGCGCATTAAAATGGTGAAAATTTTCATTTGAATGGAACATTTGGGTCTTTCTCATCGTATGTCAGATGTTACATAATGAAACGTCCATTTCTTTAGCATTAAGAAACATATATTCGTCGCAATGTTTTAAGACACCCCACCTTCTGAGACAAGCAACGTCAGTTTTTATGAAAGATTTTATGAAGCTTGGGGAGAGCTCCTATCTTTTATCATTTTAAAATTTCCCGGGTGAATAAAGTGTGATGTTGGCTGATAAATTACCGAAGTTTAACATTATAACTATATGGCACGTCAAACGTAGCAACATTCGATCTTTATTTTTCATTTGTATTGTAAAATTTTCCATTTGCATTGCATAATTTTTCATTTGTATAACTATTGTATATATAAGGATAATAGTGGACATGTTGTTTTTCATTTACGAAATGCATAAATGAATTACCGTGTGTTTTCCGATTGCAAGTAGAAAGTTTGGTCTTTTCCAACAGTACAATTTCTTTTACAGTAGTATTTGTAGTCCAGGTACAGGTGCCATCGTTCTTATGAATGTATAAACTTGCTACAATTTTGTTTATATTCATTTTGGCATGATCTAATTACCAAGCAGGTTAATACTGCTATGGTGTTTTTATCATCGATCCCTTAATTGATAAATTATTTTGTATTCGGGTGAGATTAGAATAATAGTATAATTAGCATCAAGCCTGCCATACAAGCCGTTATACTTGTGTACCACGAATTGACGTTATACAGTGTAGCCCAGACACTAAAAGTGATTTTTAGACCTTGTGACTGGGCCCACTCTGTTATATTCCAAATGCCTGAGGTCCGAAAAAGGATTTAATTTGTTTTTCCCCTTAAATAACACATTACTCTTTCATGTTGAAAACAAAGTTTCGAAAGATACAAAACCTAATAATCACCATACTGCTATTAACCCTTTATTAGTTGGTTCTGTTCATTAGAGCTTTCCCGATGTTTCCAGCCCACAGACAGAAAATATATTCAATAAAATTGAATTGGGGGTATTTTTAGCACAACATTCAGAGCAATGTGTGGCATGTATAACTTTAAACAGGTCCTTTTAACTGCAGCAGCAGCACGCCAAAGAAAGGCTCGATATTTTGGAATGCAATTATTTTATTTACTTTATATAAAACGTGATGATACTTCTCTAACAAATAAAGGCAGACCTTGTGCATGTATTTCACCTAGAAAGAGGTATGTAAATGTTTGTTTTCCTTTTACTGCAACAGTACCCCATGGGTTAGTTAGAATAATCTAACAAGCCCTCACCACAATTAGAATACGCCCCATGTGCTTGCAATGTAGCAAGATCCGCTCCGAAATGATTTTGAAGTATACAACAAGAGTTGCACTAAAAATAACTACCAAATTAATCATAACAAACCTTTTTGAGATTGTATATGCCCTTTAACCTAAAAAATAATCCATATAAAGACGAAAATTCAACTCTTTTTCTCAAAGTTTTTTTTCGCTTCAAATTTACACGCCGTGTTGACATTCGGAACTCTCTTGATTGATCATAGCAAATGCACTGAGTTCGAGTTTTCGCCCGTGTTTATTTTGCTACATTGCCAATACACCGAACGAATTCTATCGTTTAACTGGGTCCGTAGGACAATATCATTTTAACGATAGAACGTTCTATCTACCCATGGGTATGAATGGAATTAATCATGTAAATGTCTATATAGTGTTTATCAGGTTGGGACCAATCGCCCAAATGGGATATAAATATACGGTGCAAAATTTTTTTTTTATTTTAGCTACAAATATCATAAATCCGCATCGAGATACTTATAAAGGAATAACTTTTGGTTAACAAGTTTTTCTGTATGTCCACTGTTTAGGAGATTGTTCCTCGGAAGTTCATAAACTTCTTGAGGATCAATTTAACAATCCGAAGGGTTTGCAAAAAAAAATTGCCAAAAGTTATTCCTTTTTAAGTATTTTGATGCGGATTTATGATATTTATAGACAAAACAAATAGAATGCCAACTTGTGAAAACTTGCATTTAAATATACTTCAGATAGTTTGATTAAATTTTAACCCTATAATAAGCACTCAACCAAATAAAAAACAAAACTTCAAAGGAAGTACGTATAACAAGGGTATCCCATAATACCTTAAAGCATGTTTCATTTCGACAAAACACTCAGAACATTTCATTTGCCATCTCTTAAACATTATATTCAAACTATTGGTAACTACTTAAGGCCAGATAAAATTAAATTTTTAGATTCTCATCCCAGCCAACCCCTCTCTAAATGCCCCGCTCCGTGTTTTTTTTAATTTTGGTGGGGTTTTTTTTAAATAAAAATATTCATTATGCTTCATCAATAAGAATCACAGTTCACACAAAAAAAGTTTAAGAGTTATTCCCCTTTTGTATTAAAAGTCATTTTTTGGTATTGAAAGCACAAGAGCCATGGATAATGGAGAAAAACCAGCAAGATTAGCAGTTTATATGTAGGAAAAAGACAATAAGTCAGTATAGAGAGGACAGAAAAAGTTAAAACTAACAGACATATTAAGTTTTGATACATCTATCATCTATTATATTTTGTAATTTTAAACTATTGTGATTTATAACCTCAGAAACTACTTAACCCTACCTCATTCAAATCTGCAGATTATGCAAATTCACTATCAGACTTGCTTCGAATGCAAGAAACTTAAAGGAGGTAACCAGGTGAAAATGTTCAGAGTAAGTTCATTTGCTTCATAGCATCAGACTTTTTTCGATTTGCTTCAAATCTTTCAAGTAGGTGACCAGGTGAAAATGTTCAGAGCAGGTCCATTAGCATCAGACTTCTTTCGAATTACTGCATATCTTTCAAGAAGGTGACCAGGTGAAAATATTCAAAGCAGGTCCATTTACATCAGACTTTCTTCGAATGGCAGAAAATCCTCAAGTGACTGACCAGGTTAAAATGTACAGAGCAGGTCCATTTGCATCAGACTTGCTTTATGGAAAAGATCGGTTGTTCTGATAAAAATCTGCTTACTTTGCATGTGTAGTGAAAATAAAATACTTCAGCGAGCGAATCTAATCGGTGATGTATAATTCAATATTTGAAGAAATGAAGAAAATGAGTATTTTAGACAATTTTCGAAGGATGAGCAATTCTAATCAATTTCTTATATAAAACACTGGGCATTATACCTATTGTTGGTGCTAATGTAATTTGACAAACATGAAACTTTTCGCCCACAACAAAAATTTTACCATCCGTTTGAAATCGATGTAGGCGAATT